GGCAACCTTAGATCAATAAATTCAATGATTTGAAAAATGCGAGTAAGAGCCTGCATAATTTGGGAGACGGTTTAATTAGCATGGGAAATATATCCTGAGCGTGATGAGGAAAAGATTTCGATAAATATCTACTTAGAAGCGCGAATCTACCCCGAGACAGAGGACAATGAAATATAACGTGATTGACGTCCTGTCTGGAATCCCCGCACGGGCACGCCGGCGAGTCTACCATGTTCTTTCTGTGCAAACTATAAATTAGGTTATAGTGATTAGCTCTCAGTCTATTGATAAGAACAATTTCTTGTCTCCTAAGAGACATATGATAAAACCAAGTTTTCCCATAATGTTCGGAGTAAAATCTGGCGAATTGTGTACCGATATTTAACGAGGCTTCCTCAAAATATCCAATAAAACGTTCTCTCGCATTTCTGTCTGCAACAAGCACAAGGTCTGAAGACGGAAGTTTAAAATTGTCTCTGCCCCCTTCCTCAGTGGCTTCTTTGGCAGCTCCGTCCGCTATCTCGTTGTCTGGAATTCCTCTATATGCCGGAATCCAGCTCAGAGAGACATCAATGTCCCTTACCGAGAAAAATCTTAGAAGGCGCTTAATCCAATGGATGACATAATTGCGATTAATGATTTTACTAGAGTTAATTGATTCTAAAACACTTTTAGAGTCGGAGAAAATAATAGCTTTGGAGTATCCTACATCTTGAATAAGGAGAAGAGTCTGGTAAATCGCCCACGCCTCAGCTGTAAAAACCGTAGTATCCGGAGTTAGCTTGTATCTAAAGCTAACCCCCAGCTCCGGAGAGTAAGAGGCCGCACCAGCGCAGCCCCGCTCATCCAACTTCGATCCATCGGTATAGAAAGTAATTGCCTCCTTCCTCAATTCTGCTGTGTTGTCCATGAATTCTTGAATAATAACCCTATCTGGTTTGTCCTTGGTGATGAAAATAGGTTGTAAATATTTGAATCTTGAAATAAAATCGGGATAGGACGTTTCAAAGGCTGGATGAATGGTGGACTGGAACGATTTGTCTATCATGTGTTTGTTGGTAACATGGAACCTAAAGGAAGGTGAAGCCGAAATAGCAAGGGATTTCTCCCGCGACGTCCTAGCTGTAAGCTCCATGGAGCGCAAGCTGTTCGACACAGCACCTCCCCTTTTGCTAATTATTTTAAGAATGTATCTTTCGGTCATGTGTGCAAATCTCTGTCTTAAGGGAGGCTCCCTGGCTTCAAACAGAATAGCATTGATAGGAGTCGATTGTCTATAACCTAGAGCAATTCTCAGCGCCTTAAACTGTAGTCTTTGCAGTTGTGTTAATAACGATCTTTTATTATTAACTACAAACATTTGAGCCCCGTACTCAATGGAGCCTCTAAAGACCGCGCGGTAAATTGTAATTAGCAGCTGAGGATGAGACCCCCACCATACGGCTGCCAGAGAAGACAAGATGTTAATCACTGCTCTTCCTCTTCTGATAATCTGCTTAAAATACTCTATTCCGTTAAGTCTAAAATCAAGCATAATCCCCAAAAACTTCGTCTTGTTAACTCTTTCTACCAATTGATTCCTAATGTAGACCTTGAGAGCCGCTAATTCTCCATTTCTACAATTCTTCTCATAGAATACCATCCATTTGGTCTTGGACGGTGACAGTTCCAGGCCCCTCTCTTCCAGGTAGGAGCACATATAGTCAAGCGATGATTGTATGCTTCTAACGGCCTCACCAGCTTGTCTAGAAGATGAGTAAACAACTATGTCATCCGCGTATTGTAGAAATTGAGTGTCCGGGTGAAGGTGATGATCCAGCTCTCTGACGCTAATATTAAATAGAAGCGGACTGAGTGTAGAACCTTGTGGGGTACCTTTGTTGACCTCAAATTTTTGGCTAAGTCGACCCTCTTCCACAAAATGGACTGATCTATGAGTAGTGGTATTTTCAACAAACCTGCGAACCACGGCCGGGACACCAATTCTTCTGAGCTCCGTTAACACCGACTGCGGTAGCACGTTGTCAAATGCTCCTTTTATATCCAGGAACACCGCAACAACGACCTCCCCGTCCAGAAAGCTAGCTTGTATATTGTTGGTGAGCGTAACCAGGCTATCAGAACAGGACTTATTAAGTCTGAAACCCATTTGTTCTTGAGGTAAGAATGCCTGTGATTCCACCAGCCACTGTAGCCTGAAATAAATAATCTTCTCAAAAATCTTCATGACACAAGAGAGTAGCGAGATAGGTCTTAGCCCCTCGTTATTGGATTTCGGAATGAAGATAACCAATGATGTTTTCCACGAGTTAGGAACAACGCCTTCTTTGAAAATGCGATTAAATAAATCCAAAAGAAATTCCTGGTAATTATCAGGCAAAGAAGTGAGCATTATATAGCTGATTTGGTCGAGCCCAGGGGCTGAGTTTTTGTTAGATTGAGTAAGAGCCAAATTAAGCTCTTCCTTGGTGAATGATTCCCCAAGTTCGCCAAAAACTTTTTCCTGTTGATGAAGATCCTCTGCAATCATAAATTCCAAATTATTGGTAAAATTCGGCGGACAAAAAGGAAGGCAAATCTTGTTCACTGCCTCAGATAGAAGATCGCGTTGCTGTTCAGAGCCTGGGACTATGTTGTTAAAATCAGCGAAGTTGCGTCTCTTGAAGGCTTTAAATAATCGCCAGATATCAGTTGTAGGAGTCTTACAATCAAAAGAGCCCACGAATTTTTTCCATTGTTTCCGTTTTGTTTTATAAAGTTTCTTGGAACATGCCGCTCTAGCCCTCTTAAAGGCTAGGAAATTCTCCAGGGTAGGACAACGTTGATATGTTTTGGCGAAATTTCTTCTTTCCAAGATAGCTTTGGAACATTCCTCCGTCCACCAAGGAGGATGTTTTCTCCTGCTAGGAGCCAGCACCGTTCGAGGATGCATTTTTTCCGGAAGTAACGACCTCGCTGTGCTCTTCAAATGATCTGCAAAAAATTCGTAAGCTTCAATAGTTTCTTCGGGGAGTTCCTTGAAGAACTCCTTTGAAGAGGAAAAAAGAGAGGAATAATACATCTTGGCGTCTCTCCCATTCAGAGCCAACCTGTAGCTAAAAATATGACGAAGATCAGGAGAACCGCCAATGGATATAGGAAAGTGATCGCTGCCTCCAGTGTCCTCCTCAGTGACGACCTCACACAAGGGCGCCAAGTCCGCAGATGCGATTGAAACATCAATAGCCGATTTATTGGATCCGGGCGGTGTGAGAAAAGTGGATTTCCCATCGTTAATGATGCAGGCATCCATGACGCTCAACAAGATCCTTCCATGACGATCGGAGCACCCCCAGGAGATGTAGTGCGCGTTGAAATCTCCTACTATTATAACTTTCTCCGAAGTGGTGAATAATTGTGAATTACAAATTAATATAAAAACTAATAAGTTTTTACAAACTCCTTTAATTAAAATAATTAATAAAACTATAAATTATATATTACAGGCAATAGGAGTCGACGCTGGTTATCGGTTAGCGCAATTTTATCTTAATACTAAATGTATAAACCTTAACTTTGAACGTTTCCACTCATGGTTTGAGTCTTCATCAGCAATCTTTCACCCTAACGTAACAATTAGAGTATTGCATGACAAAATGATATCTCCAATGTTTTTCCTCTCAAATATTGAACCGTTTACTGTTGTGAGGCAAGTCAACATACTCACTAAGTTAGAAAGCTGAGTGGCAATGAGAACTCAAGCTTACACAGTCGACGCTTCTACACTGAATAATGAATCTTTTCTTCGTAAACATTTTGTAACTTGTTAAAATTTTATAAATTATTTAACCGACTGTCGTAATGACAAGACACATATTGTTCTCGCAGTTATATATTTTTAAAATTGACGATAATTTATAAAATTTTAACAAATTACAAAATGTTTACGAAGAAAAGATTCATTATTCAGTGTAGAAGCGTCGACTGTGTGAGCTTGAGTTCTCATTGCCACTCAGCTTTCTAACTTAGTGAGTATGTTGACTTGCCTCACAACAGTAAACGGTTCAATATTTGAGAGGAAAAACATTGGAGATATCATTTTGTCATGCAATACTCCAATTGTTACGTTAGGGTGAAAGATTGCTGATGAAGACTCAAACCATGAGTGGAAACGTTCAAAGTTAAGGTTTATACATTTAGTATTAAGATAAAATTGCGCTAACCGATAACCTGCGTCGACTCCTATTGCCTGTAATATATAATTTATGGTTTTATTAATTATAATAATTGTGAAATCTTATAAAACCATTCTTGTGGTGTATGTATATTGGGATGTCGATACACATTGATGATAATTAATTGTTCGTTATTAAATTTTACTGAAATTCCTTGTATTTCTACCGAGGGATGCTGCAAAGCAGATGTATCAACGTGGTTGAAGATAAGGTTATTCCTGATGAGTATGCATATGCCTCTTTGACCTGATTGTAGTGAATCCTTTCTTACAGCCTGAAAGGCAGATAGTTGAAAGATTGTATTTGAGGATAGTAAAGTGTCTTGAATACAGAAAATATCGTAGTGTCGGCTGACATGTTGAAGATACGGAAGTTTTCCCCTAATACCACAACAATTCCACTGTAGGATTTTAAAATTATTGGCTGAAGCTTTACGAGTGAAGGCGATGTCTATTAGCTGAGTCAAGGGCGGTGTTGTAAGAGAAGGCTGGACTCGGCTCATTCGTGTGGTTGAGAGAATTCGAGGAGCAAAATCCCAAGGCGCTTAGTATGCCATAAATCTTACGAAGCCAAAAGATAATGTTCTTTGATAAGTCAGAAATTGACGGAATGTCGATTAAAGAATCACAATTCTCGAGAAAATTAATAATTTTTTGGATAATCGTGCCTATGTCTTCGCTAAAAAGATTGCTAGCAGGTGAGAAGGTCGATGCTTCTTTAGTGGCGTTACCAGCTCGTCTACGGTCCTCTGATTCACTGTTAGGTCGATAACGACCGTTGGGGGTATTAAGTATTAGTATATTATAATGCTCTTGCGAGTATCCTGAGCTGCCATTACCCTTGTTGTTGTTATAGACGTTTACGAGCGGTTGTTCCGCATTGGAATTGGAAGGGCGAATTATCTTATATCTACCTCTAAAGGTCTCATAACTTGGAGAATAGTTAGGGCTGCCATCATCCTCTGATTGAAAGTGCTGAAATCTATTTGACGTTGGTATAGATGTCGTCTGAGAAGAATGTTTAGAGTTAAAAGATATGGGTGATGACGTTAAGTAAGGGAAACTCTTGAAGTCAAAGAATGTATCCTGTGATGTGGAAGAAAAAGGAAGGTGGGAAGAGACATTCTTCTTGCCTCTATGAGAGGGATGTTTTCTTGCGCAGCTAGATTGATAATAGATTTATGTCTAATAATAAAAGAACAGGTATGTGAGGTCGCCAAATGTTCCCCACTACAATTAATACAGGTAGCCCGCGACCTATCAGCGGGGCATGAGTGTTCATCCTCGCACGGGGATCCACAAAACAAACATCGAGGCCTAGGACTTTTGCAATCGCGACCAATATAGCCCACTCTATAACAAACGTAACATATCTTGACTCTAGGGACAAAGGCGTCCACCTTATATAAAGCATTGAAAAGAGCCACTTCTGAAGGGAGCACCTGTCCCGCAAATTTGATACAAATAGTACGAGACGGCTCGTAACTAGCTTTACCATTGTTGGTTACCCGCCTATTCAGTCTTTGGATATATAAAATTTTGGTCTTAGAAATAATATTTTCTTTGATGCATTCGAGCGAGATAGATTGATCGATTCCTATGATAATTCCCGCACGGAGAACCTTAAAGGATGGGATAAAAGCCCTCAGGTTATTTTTCTCAAAGACGGGATTAGATAACAAACGATTAGCCGCTTCCGCGGACCTAACCTCAATAATAGTCTTCCCCGCGCCAAGTCTCTTAATTAGAAGAATATCGTTCTTAATCGAGTTAGATATGATACGCGAGAGCACTGAAAAGTGCATTGAAGATGGCTTGTCTGAATAAACATATATCACATACGGGGGAATGTCGTTATTGGAATATTTGTATGTAGAACGAATGGGACTGGCAATCTTAGATTCATGTGCCGATGTCGTATGTTCTTTATCAGTAAAATTGGATTTATCTTTACCTGTCTCGGAGAGGGGGGAGTTTGCTTTGACTTTAGTTTTTACCCCATATTCTCCGTTCTTCTCTGTCTGTGATGATCGCTTACGCTTAGACCTTTCCAAATCGATGTCCATAGGTATCGGTACGTTAATGGCCGACTCGTCATAAGAGGAAGATGCACGATGAGAGACACTATCGCTGTCCTTGTTATAATAGGTTGCTTCATTAGACTACGCCATTAGATTAGTCAGCATGTCTTTCTCGTTCCCATTCATAGAATTACCACTTTCTGAGCAACCTTCCTTGGAAACCGCGAACTCGGAGAAGTTATTGCAGGCCATAGTTCTTAAATCCGACAAGGAGATAGAGTTTCCCGTTGAAATAATAGACCGAACCGCGGTTTCTACCTCTCCGTCCCCCCCCCCCCTCGCCCCGTATCAGGGGCCGATGCCCCCGACATGGGAACGAAGGGAAGCGTATCGCGTAAAAATTCGATATAAACTTGCAAACGAACGTTAGCTACTAGGCCAGCACTGTAGCCGACCAAATTCTAATGAGAGAAACACTCGCCAAAAGCAAATGTATTGTTACGCCGCCGCCTGCTACGCCTTGCCGGTTTCTGGTGTCGCGTTGTCAAGGGGACGCGCCGTTGTTGATAGAGAACGTTCGGCAGATCTTTGGAGAGACGTCGACACTTACGGACGTGTTTTCTCCATCGCTTATCGAGAGTTCTTATTTCCGACGTATCTCGTGTTATCTACGAGTTGTATAGACCTCTGCAATAAAGACCGTTTGTTTCCTTTTAGCCATCCTCTGTGTCCAATCCTTTCCGCGGCTCGGGAGTGCGCGTCGCGCTCGTGAGTGAGATCGTGCGAAGCGGGCGCAAGAGTATATATAATTGCTCTAAAGACCGACTCGAGCGAACACACACGTGTATACCCAGTGCCAACTCAAATGCGACTCCCAGGAATAACACCCGAAACGGGGGCAACCGGCAACGAGGCGTGTCCGCCACGAACGAGTGGTTCATCAGAACTGATATATCCTACAGCCGACAGACGACCAGCGACATCCGACAGCGACATACGACGTATTGTAGAACAGGCCTAAGTCCGGATCTACAATAGGATTTTAAGCCTTAAACCATAAGAAATGGGCGAATCACAGTCGCTTATTCTTTTCGGATTCGACTGTAATTGGTCAATTTCTTACGGCTTAAGGCTTAAAACACTTATTGTAGATCCGGGGTAAGGCCTGTTCTACAATATAGTCGTAAGCGGTAAGCCGTAAGAAATTAACCAATCATAGTCGATTATTCTTCTCACATTTAACTGTGATTGGCCAATTTCTTACGGCTAACGACCTGCGACCCTATTGTAGAACAGACATTAAGAGTGGTCCCGACGCCCCCGACCCCGACTCCGCCAGTGTTGTTAGACTGGCCGGATTTCTGACGCATGTGCGTCCAATGTAGCTTCAGTAACGTACCGATCACTAAATAGGAGATCATTAATCGCCTATGTAAAATTTTTTCAAAAATGTTGAAAATTTTACATAGGCGACTAATGATCTCCTATTTACTAATGATCGGTACGTTACTGAAGCTACATTGGACGCACATGCGTCAGAAATCCGGCCCGTCTAACAACACTGGACTCCGCAGTGATGGCAGCTGGCAAGAATTCGTCTGCTCTAATGGCTGTTCTACAATGTGTTTTTTGTTTTCTGTTTTTTGCTGTTTGTCTCTTCCCTTCTTGATCAAAAAGACAAGAGACAAACAGAGACAAACAGCAAGAAACAGGAAACAAGAAGCACATTGTAGAACAGCCGTAAGAAACTGTGTGCGCGTGCGTAAAGCTGAGCAGCCTTAACTGACGTATACATTGTATGGTACTATAAGACCCCTAATAACGATGTTAAGAAAATTGGAGAGAGAAAAGGAAGTTTTTATTAAAGAAACATAATGTGTTCATGATTAATAATAAATTTTCATATATATTTTTATGTAAAGGGTTTTAAAAAAATAATCGTTCAGAGAGATAGCATTCGCGAAAGCCACTATAATGACGTACAGCATCTAAGAGGTTAAAAGAGGAACAATTCATTACTATAACCTTAATTTAGGAAAAATTTGGAACGCGTTGTAAAGCGGGACAAAGTGTTAAAATTTGAGATTGCCCCGTCTAATTTGGGACGGTTGGTCACTAAGATGTACAGGAGCCCCAAAAGCACCCGTATTCCGTATTGCTTAGTCATTAGATCGAGCTGCTACGTCATTTTACGCATGCACACAAAGTTTCCTAGAGCAAACGAATTCTTGCCAGCTCCCATCACTACCGACTTCTACTATGGAGTCGATACGGCCAGGAACGATATAGCCGCTCCAAGCGGCGAGTAACATGAATTAAGAAATGGGTAACGTAGAAATAATATGTTGGTATGACTGAGTGAAGCCCTTCCTGCCGAAACGCGAGCCGGGCGGGGGAGGTTGGAGGCTTTGAGAAAAGTCAAAAGAAGACGACACAATTTGGCAGAAGGCTTTTTTAATAAGGGAAAGATATCTCTAGGAGTATTCGGGGAAGTAGTATCGATGAATGTAGTGAGGTTGACTGATTTGGGATTGGTGATAGGACAATGAAAAATTATGTGATTGATATCTTGGTGAGGATCTCCGCAGGGACAGACACTCGAGCGGACCATACTTTTGCGGAACAGACTGGCATTCAAGTTGTAATGGTTAGACCTGATGCGATTAGAGTGATTTCCTCTCTTTTCAAGGGGAGTTTAGCATACCAAGTCTTAGGTGAGGTATCCCGGTAGAGTTGTTCATACGGTAAACCTTTTTTGCAGAAATTCTCCATTTAAGTAATCCTGGAACTGTCTTGCAGATCTAGCTTTAGGTTCCGCAAGTGTGTCCGTATACGGAATCTCTATATCCGGGTACCGCTTCTAATACCGAGTTTGGCAAGATCGTCCGCCTCTTCGTTCCCCCGTATGCCCCTATGAGAGGGGATCCAGACAAGGTCTACCTGGATACCCGAGGAAGTAGCCAAGTACAGCTGGTTCTTGAGAGTGTACACCAGATAGTTGCTGTTATTAGTTCTAGATGAAGCAATGGCCTCTAGAACGCTTTTGGAGTCGATGAAGATGACAGCCGTGACACACTGTTCCTCGCAGATAGACCTTACAGCGACGAGTAAAGCCCAGGCTTCTGCAGTGAAAACTGAGGTGCCCGACGGGAGGCGGTGAGAAAGACTCAGCTGCAACGTTGGAGAATAAATACCCGCTCTAGTGACGCCGTCTGTGCCCAATTTAGAACCGTCCGTATATAGCACAGTGATATCCTGAGGGAGGGTATGCAGGAATTCTTGAAATTTAGATACAATGAATTCTCTGGGAGTGGAATCGTTAACATGAGTAACTACTTCCTTGTATTCTTGTGTAAAAATAGATACGTTGTATGGGTATAAGAAAGCAGGAAGGAAATTAGAGTGCTTAATGTGTCCTTCGTAATGTTTACAAGAAATATATTGTTTAAAAATAGGAATGGATCGTAGGGCTTTTATTCTTTTCCGCCTGTTACAGGTAATATCTTCTAAGTGGCGAAGACTGTTAACCATAGGATTGCCGCTCTTTGAAAAACTTTTTAGAAGGAATCTAGACGACAGCAGCCTAAATCTGTTCCTTAAGGGGGACTTTTTAGCCTCTGCAAGCATTATATTGATCGGGGTAGAGATTCGATATCCCATAGCGATTCTGATAGTCCTCCATTGGAAGTGTTCCAGGCATTGAAATAACGTTTGATTTCGTTGAAATTGAAATACCTAGTAGCCGTATTCGATGGAGCCTCTGAACACGGCGCGATAAATTGTTAGGAACGATTAGGGGTGTGAGTCCCACCAAACTCCCGACAAAGAGGATAGGATGTTAACAATCGATCTACCTTTCTGAATTAAATAGGTGAGATGTTTCCTGCCCGACATCTTCGCATCCAGCTAGACTCCCAGAAACTTAAAGGAATCCGAAAGAGGAATGATTTGATCCCTCACGCTAATCTGCTGAAAGTCTGGAATCTTATTCTTACGTGAAAAAATTACGCATTGAGACTTGTCTGGGGAGATCTCGACGCCCTTTGCTCGTAGGTAAACCTGTAGGGAATCTAAAGTATTTTGCACAGATTCGACGGCCTTCGTGAGGTTAGTGTCGTGAGCGAAGATCGCTGTCATCTGCGTATTGCAGCATAAGAGAATTGCCCCGAATACGGTCAACTATATCAGCGAGGTAAATGTTAAATAAAATCGGACTTAGAATTGATTCTTGTGGGGTACCCTTGTGAACTACATATGATTCGCTCAGTCTGCCGTTTTTAACAAAAAAGACCTCTCTCTCCGAGGTCAAATTCTGAATAAACCTGCGCAGTTTGGCCGGGATACCAAGGTTCCTCAGAGCGTCAACGAGTATAGAGGGAATGACGTTGTCGAAAGCGCCGACAATGTCGACAAATACACAGACCGCGAATTGGCCAGCCAGATGGGCCGTATGAATATGGTTAGTTAGGGTTGTGAGGTTGTCAATGCACGAGCGAAAGGGCCTAAAGCCCATTTGGATTTCAGGAATGATCAGGTAAGATTCAACCCACCACCTTAACCTAAAATAAACGACCCTCTCCATCAATTTAAGTAAGCAGGATAGAAGAGAAATTGGCCTAACTCCGTTGCCGTTTGGCTTAGGTATGAGAACCACGGGTGGTACCCAGTTGGACACGGCTCAATTGGACACGAGCCACTCACAGCGCTTGAGACTATAAAGCTCCTAAGCACCGGTCACTATGACTGATGGTGTCCAATCGAGCCGTTCGTGAGGCGTTCCTCTTTTTTTTTGTGGTCAATCGGGATCACCCCGAGAACCACGAGGGATCTTTTCCAGGAATCAGGAATGACTCCCGAGTCCAGGAAGCCGTTAAAAATGTCTACAAAGGCATCTGTAAACTCCATGGGGAGAGATGAAATGATCATGGGATCGATTCTGAATCTTGAAACGAGATGAAAATTACAAAAGTGAGTGAATTTACTAGAATACTGATAATTTTATTGGTCAACAGCTAGTAAATTTGCACACTTTTGTAATTTTCACCTTGAATGAAGATACAGAATCGACCCTCTTGTTATCAATCTGATCCAGACCCGGAGCCGAGTGTTTCTTAACTTCTTTAAGGGCGATGGCAACCTCCTTACTGGTAATAGGTGAATCGAGTTCCGTGACCAAGTTATGAAAATTGATTGCGTCCTCTCTGAGCATGTCCGGGAGAGAAGGAAGTTTTCCGTGCAGGCAAGAAGGGGGACATAGTTTCTCAATGGCCTTGTCGCACGCACGCGACAGATCACAGCCAGAGTGACGTTCTGGGATTATATCCGAGTTTAAATTTCTTCTTCTTCTTCTTCTGTTTTTTGGCCACCGCAGCCTAGACAGGCTGGTACTGGGCCATTGAGTTCTGCGTAAATTGGGGTAATCGTAAGTGGGAGTGCTATGCACCGGCCACCTCGAACCGGGCGAGTAATGGATGATGCAATAAAAATGGTGAGGCGCCCCTTCAACCACTGGACGCCTGCGGCTACGGCGCTTCCACGCCGCACGGCCGCGGGCCGCGCGCCAAGACGGATAAAGGGACTATCGAAATTGAAATACTATGGCACAGTCCAAGCCGGCAAAGCTTTTCAAAAATATAGTCGAGGTGACGCAACACCCGGGACGAGAGGGAACACGTCCGATCCGCTCGAGTGGTCTACAAGAACTTAGTTTAAATTTCTGTTTTTAAAGGATCGGACCAATGACCATAATCTAGACGAGGGCGTGCGGCAGTTGAAGCTCTCACAGAACTTCCTAAAGCGGCGTCTACAATGAGATCTTAAAACCTAAGATTTAAGCTTTAAACCTTTAACCGTAGGCATTAAGCATAAGCTGTTAAGTTATAGTGTCCACAGTGAATGTCTTAAGTCTATAACCTAAGTCAACGATCTTAAAGTCTTAACCTAAAATCAGAACGGAGTGAAGTTCGGATATACAGCTATAATGGAATCAATAGAAGAAAACGAAGAATTAATTTTGCTTACATCAATTGTATGGGTGCAAATAATAGCATGTTATTTATTATTAAAACCTAATCGGAGATGGTGGATGTTACCAGACAAACGAGAGAGACCTTGTTTGGGAGCATATTGTACTTTATTTTTGAAGTACAAACGTACGAATCATGAAGAATTTTTCAAAATGACTAGACTTACAGTGAAACAGTTTGAAGAACTGCTTAATTTGTTACACCCTGCTTTAACAAAAGCTAGTATGCGAGAATTTTTGCATCCTGAATTCCGTCTAGCATTTACATTATGGTAGGTTACATTCTCCTATTTAGTACTCACATACATTCTCTGTTTTCTATTAAATTTCATGATTGTCTAGCTTTCTAGCATCACATGCTAGACAGCCTTAATTCAATGGCCAGATACTGGCGCATAGGCAAATCAACAAGTTATAAAATAGTTATAGAAACATGCAATGCCATTTGGCAATGTCTTAAGAAAACGTATTTGAAGCAATCTTCTGAAGAAGAGTGGAAAAATATTGAAAAATGCTTTTATGGACGATAGGATTTTCCAAACTGTATCGGGGCTTTGGATGGAAAGCATATCCGTGTGCAATGTCCACCCAACTCTGATTCAGCATACTATAACTATAAAGGATACTACAGTCTAGTATTGCTAGCCACATGTGACGCAAATTATGCATTTACCTTTGTAGATATCGGAGATTATGGTAAGAATATGCATTGTTTAATATTAAGTTGCAAGTTGAAATAATATTAAATTTTTAAGTATATAATACACGATTATTGTAATTGTTTAGGATCACTATCAGATACAAGGATTCTTAGTGCATCGGGATTTGGACAAGCTTTAGAACATGATGAATTAAATCTGCCACCACCAAAGTTATTGTCAAAGTCAACAATATTAGCACATCACTACTTTGTACGTGATGAAATTTTCCCGTTGCGTTTAAATCTTTTGCGTCCATATGCAAGGAAAAACTTATTGGGAATCAAACAAAAAGTTTTTAACTATTGACTCTCAAGGGCACGACGTACTATTGAAAACGCTTTTGGAATTTTCGTAACTAGGTAATAATAATATTTTGATTTATCATTTAATTATGCAAAAGTCAATATATATAACAGATGTTTTCATATTAGATGGAGAGTACTAAGTACTATACACTAGCCATGCACCCAAAATAATGTAGAGGCTGTAATTTCTGCTGCAGTCTGTTTACACAATTTCATCATGAAAAGGGAAGAACATACTATCGGATTCTAATCATATTGTCCACCTGGTTACGTAGATCATTATAATGAAAATGGAAATGTTGTTTCTGGTTTATGGCGAGATAAAAACATTCCTAGATGTACAACACGACTCAATCGAGTAGGATCTAACCGTGCTGCAACAATTTCATTGGAGCAACAAGATACGATAGCTGAATATTTTACGACAAATGAAGGACAGATTCCTTGGGGCAATGGAATATTGTACGCAGAGATCGCATAATAAATATTTCTTAATTTAAAAAATTATTTTTTTTTAACTAAATAACAAAGTACATTTAATTTCTCTAAAATTTATTTTTTCGTACAAACACGTACATAGTCATTGTACAAAACATATATGCATATGTACATACAATCATTTTTCCGTAACTACATACAACAATAAAATAAATTAATTTTTTTGATATTTATTTTATCCTGCCAATACATAAACAAAACAATAAATTAAACAATCTTTATATGAAATAAAATAATACTTTAAAATTAAACAGCCACATTGTATCACCACTTATATTGTATTCAAGATGCATACCTATCACTAACGAAAAACATTATTATTGCGGAATGACAACCTTTGGTAAAATTAAAAAATAATTTGGCCTCATTACGTTGGACGGAAAGAAATAATATGTTTCAGAACTGTCATTGGCATTAAAAAAGTAATTGTAAGAAGAATCTCGATTGACTACGTTACAATTAGACACACTCACAGGTGCCTAGAGTTTTTGAGATTTTATCTAACTATAATGTGATCAATCAATATTTATCAATTATAAGTTATTTAAGCAGAAAAAAAATATAAAAAAAATAAAAAAAAATATAAAACAAATAAATATATATCAAGACTATTTGATATGTTAAATCAATTATATGTTATCTCAGTTACTTGATAATTACTTGAGAATTACTTGTTTAATTGAATTGAAATCAGAAGTTTCATGATTTGAAATTATTTGCGTAATTGACATGAAACAAGACAACTGCTTTTCATCTAGTACTCGTTTCATTGCTTCAGCTATTGCTGTGATATACGGATGATGCTGCTGCTGTGTAGCAGTAGTATGATTTAAGTATGCTGTTGCCATTACGTTAAAAGCATGAGAAGATTGGGATAATATGTTTTCTACTGTACCCATTGTCTTCTGCTTTTTTGCTGCAAATTGATCTAAAGCCGGTATTATTTTCTTTTTCTGTATTATAGTATTCATATTCTCAGAAACGATATTTGTAGCTATCTTCTTTTTTTCTTTATTATTTATATCAAGTGGATCGTTCTCGGAATCTTTAAAATTAATAGGAGATTGCTGATCTGAAGTTAGTGATTCAGTATTCATTAAAGGTACATCAACTAAAGAACTGCTAGTGCTATTATCTGAATTTGTCAATAGATTTATAGAACTCCATGCATTTGATGATAATGGACTTAATATTGTCCTCATTGTAGGGTCTTCGGTGAGCATTGATGATCTTACAATATTTTGTAATTCCATGCTTTTCTCTTTCTGAGATGTTGTCATAGAGCTGCGTGACCTATCCAAATAAAAATTTTATCACAGCAATAGATATTTTCCAAAAATAATTATATATATACTTACATTTGATGGGCAATATGTGATGTTAGAAAGGACATTTGCTTAAAATAAATCCACGTTTTCATTATTTTATGTCCTGAATCACTGGGTTGTCCTGCCTTCATTTCCCGTAATTTTTTGGTGAATGTATTGCGAAGAGTATTCCAACGCCCTTCTGCTTGCTCAGCTAAAGTTATTAAAATTTAAATATTTGTTATTATAACTTGCTATAATTATATCTTGCAAATTTAAAGTAGTAATACTTAACCTGTACAACCAAGCATCTCCCCAATACTTGTCCATTTTTCACGTTTCAGTTCTTTATTTTTGTAATCTTTTAATGTTTTCACATATAATACTGGGTTTTCTCTTACAATAGAAATTAAAAGTTCGTCATTGATATTTTCCTGTATTTCAATATCGACGTTTAAATCGTTTGAATGATCCATCGTGTAACTCGTCAGTCACAGTCAACATAATATTTTTATAGGTTATCGTATCCCACTTGGCTTTAAACAGTAAGATTTTAGCAGTAAGAAATTTAAATTTCGCCAATTCGCTTAAGGGGAGATATACACCTAGGAGCCGGAAAAAAAGATCATTTTTGTGAATTTTTTTAAGAAAAACTATTTGAAATTTCGGATTGAGAGTTTTTGTATCTAAAAGTACACACATTCAGGAATATGTTCAATTTTTTTATTAAAAAAAATCAAAAATTGACGAGGTTGTTGTATAATCTTCGGAGCGCTGTAAAAAAATCCGGGTAAACGGTACCAACTGGCGTTTCTTCAAAAATCATCTGAAACAAAAAAACCAAAAAGATTATTAAATTAGATACTATAATCTAGTACTTGTCATAGCCGATTTTGAAAATATCGATTTATGACAAAATGGCGGACGTTTGAACATAACATAGCGATTTTTCGACCAAAAATTAGTTATTATTTGCCTATAAAAAAAAAAATACGCAACGAAAAAAAAAATCCTATGACAAGTACTAGATAATGATGTCTAGAATAACCACAAAAAAAATTCAAGGCAATCGGTTCATTGGTTTTCGAGAAATTTTTGGTACCGATTTGAAAGACGTGGTTTCGAGAAAAACGCGTTTGAAAATTTGGGAATGAATAAACCATGAAATTTGTCAACTTACATGGAATCATTGATACCAGGCCCATAGTGTAAGTCTTCTACGGTCGACGGAATGTTCATGTCTTCTAAATTTTGTTGTCGGCGCCGTATTCGACCTTCTTTCGTCTGTTCTTGCGCTTGCAGCTCGGCTTTCGCTATGCGAATTTTGTCTTCATAGCTCCATGCAAACCAATCCCCAATAACGCATAACAAAATAGAATCGTGTATGTATTTCGTAAGCTGACTTGATGTATGGGCACGAAGGAATTAAAGTCGGTTTGCACGATGAACACGAAACTACAATTTTAAAACCGAGCCCTCGAGTGCTTTCTATTGAGAATCGAACATCACTATCACACTTTTTGCATTTTACACATTCCGATAAGGCAGAAAACACTGTCAGAAAATTCAAAATTCGATACCCGATGTTTGGATCTTCTGATGCAGATGTCTCACGATCAGTCTTCAATTTTTTGGCACTGGAACTAGCGTATTCGATTACTGACTCGACCCGACTCTGAGTCAACAGTCTGTTCTTTTTAACTGCATTTCTTACACAATTAGCTCTTCTTTTGCAGCTAAACAGAACAGATTATTGACTCGGAGTCGGGTCGAGTCAGTAAATCGAATACGCTATAATATTCTCGTCGGAAAGTTCTACTTTTTCGGCAGTATGTCGATTTTTGGACGGTATTTTCTTCTTGCTTCGATCTTTGCGAAAAGATCCGGATCGATGAGCTTTCCGAGAACCTTTATATCTGTTATCCATTTTCCTCAGAATATTTATTCACAGACGGAAACTCACTGTAACGCATAGTTGAACGAACGGCAAGCTACTGACGAAACGCGTCCAATTTCTGGCAAAGAATAAGGCCTATCACACATGAAATGCATAACAGAGCATAAGCATAACATAAGACTGCTGGACCAATGAGCATCTAGCATAATGTCGCCATATTGATTTACATAAGATGCTCATTGGTTTAGCGGCCTTATGTTATGCTTATGCTCTATTATGCATTTCACGTGTGAGAGCCCTAAGTCCGGATCTACAATAGAGTTTTAAGCCTTAAGCCATAAGAAATGGGCGAATCACAATCGCTTATTCTTCTCGGATTCGACTGTAATTGGTCAATTTCTTACGGCTTAAGGCTTAAAACACCTATTGTATATCCGAGGTAACGGTCGTGTAATATTTCCCTTATACCTGGACCCGAGCACGCCCGAAAACACAATGGAATCGTAAAACAGATCTAGATACGCTCTCTTCGAAGGGTCGTTTGCCGCTACCTGCCTCTCGGCTCGGCCGCAAAACAGGCGGCACGGCGCGCTCTCGGAGACGGTTCACTCTCTTGGCTGTAACTTCGTTATATATCGAGATATTGATTTGCAATTTTCACCAGATATTCTTGAGACCTCAAGCTTCAAGAAAATGCAAAAAAAAAATTGATTTTTTCGACCATGCTAGGTGTATATCTCCCCTTAAGGCCCTGCGCACAATGGAAGAAGTATTAGGAACAGGAATAGATATTAAGATTTCAACCTATCAGAAACCGTATATTCCAGTGTAACTGGTATCTGATAGGTTAAAATCTTAATATCTATTCCTGTTCCTAATATTTCCTCCATTATGCGCAGGGCCTAATAGGCCTTCTACAATAAGCCATTAGTCATAAATCAGAAGTCAGAAGTTAAAAAATGACGACTGTGATTGGTCAATTTTTGGTTTCTGATTTCTGATTTATGACTAATGGCTTATTGTAGAAGGCCCTTAAAGCGGGGAGCACAGACTCTTACATAACGCATAAAACATGAGGCATAAAAAAATCAACCAATCCTTTATTTCACGGAAAGGAAGGAAATAAAGCACTTGGGGTACATTCTAAAACTTCCTCTTCGAGAAAAATTTTGCTCATTGGCGTTCTAAAACGTTGCGAGCGTTTCCGATTGGTTCCTCGTTCATCATTCGGAGCTGTTCCAAAACTGGTAAGAAAGTCTTCGTATTTCCTCCATCGAGTAAAATTCTCACCTGCGTTTGTGTGCGGGAACTACGAGTAAATTGTGATGATTGGTGGAAAAAGTAGATAGGTTGAACACGTGACATTATACGTTATGAGAATGAAACAAGGTTATAAGCACAAGGTTAAAGTGAATCAGATTTTAATTTATAATAAAATGGAGAACATCCCACTTGTTTTTCAAATTAACATAGAGAGCGACGTACCTGTAATAAGTGCTAATAATAACTATCCTGTTGAAGCAGGCAAAGGGCATATATTTTTATACAATAAGATAAGTGAGTATCATATATATTTATTTATATGTAGTTATGTGTATCATTTATGTACTACGTCATTAAATACTATGCCATTATTCAACATTATTTTTTATCAAATTATGTATACAGGAAATACATTTATTAAAGTTCCTGATGTAATTCAAGTTAGAAATGCATATAACCTCGATATAAACCACTGCGCATCTTTCTGTGATATACCCATAACTGAAACATATAATGTTTATTATACTACTATTATTTGTGATGAAAAACGATTACCAGTCCAAGCTGATAAACATTTGTTACTGGTTGAAAAAGCTTGTAAGTGTATATATTTCAATGCATAGTTTTATCCAATAATAAATATATTGTAGTATTTTTTATTTCTAAATTATATTTTTTCTTTTTACAGCAGGAAAAACTTTCAGAATTATGGATTCCCTAAATATTCGTAAAATATATAATTTGCAACATTCTTCTTTTAAAAACATAAAAAGTCAAGTACAATCTGCTTTATCCACTAAAGAGTTCCAGCAGCATTCATCAACTATGATAAATCAAACAGATTTCAACTTACTTAATAAACCGCTACAGGAATCATCATGTGTTACGAAAAATCAGCCACCATCTTTGATTGTACAATTGCCATCAACTTCAATAAATCGTGTGCAATCTTCTGCTTTAACAGACAAGCAATATTCTCAACCTCCATATATTAGTAATCCAATAGAAACCAATGTTTTGAATACGGATAAACCATATGAAAAAGTACTTTCACAAAGTAATAATAATGCAGGATCTCAAGTACAAGTAACACTTCCAAAAACAAAACGCCGAAAAACTGTAGATACTCCCCGAGGTATACAAACGTTTTTGTATTTCTTGTTTATTGTATTGTATAAAATGCCACGTGAGCATCAAGATTTTGTAAATTTAAAATTTTACTTGCAGCTTCGTGGAAACATCCTGCCATTTTATGTCTTATTCATCACTACAAAGCAAATATGCATGTAATGAATAGCAATTCTAAACGCCATGAGGAAATATGGCAGGATATATCAGACGCTTTGGCCAAAGAAGGATATTATTTTTCTCACTTGCAGTGTGAAGATAAGTGGAAGTATCTTAAAAAAGTATATATAGAGACAGTAGACAAAAATAAGGAGTCTGGAACTGCTGAGAATACATGTCCTTACTTTAAGGAATTTCATGATATTTATAGCAAATCACATTCTGTCAATCCTCCAGCACTTGCTTCTAATCGAATACTGAAAAATATTTCTGAATGCGAATCTTTCTCACAATCAGATTCAGAAGAAAAAAATGTACCAAAGAAAAAAAGTCGAAAAGTTTCTCGCAAGTGCTCGCGACGCGCGAAATACTGGTACCACGGCCGCACCCCCAGGGGGCTAACGCGATTAACCAAGGCTCGCGTTTAAGATCCGCCGGCGGGGG